TTGTAAACGTTGTAAATGAAATATTATAAAATATGCTGGCACTGATGCAGATTCTTTTTCCTAATGATTGACTAGCAAAAAGATTAATAATGATTTTTTTCCTCTTGTGTATACTGAATCCGCCCTCCACATTAACCTGAGTTAGACGCACACAGCCGGAGAAAAGATGCACCTCATGCTTTCCCCCCATGAAACCCACCCCCTTCCCCGCTCTTCACCCTTTCCTTGCTCTGTAGTCGAAGGAAGCAGTGTGGGGGCGAGAGGTGGTGGGTAAACAGTGGTTCTGCAAAGTGCTTTTTCCCGGCCTGTGTATACCTGCGTAATAGAGGCAGTAATGGAGTTTGTTCAGGCTAAGGTAATCCTGGAGCTGTGAGCTCAGCATCTGGTGCTGTTTCTCTCTGACGCTGTTTTGTTCCACAGCAGGTCCTGATGTTGTTGTAGCTGTCACTGTAACTGTCCCACACAAGCCATTTGGGAGTAAAGCAATGTGTGTCTGCATTTCTGTGAATGTGTATTTTCTGTTGAAAAAAATGTGCTTATCAAAAGTGGATGTGTGTGTACAGTATATCTGTGTGCACCCCCCTCCCCAAAAAGAAGGAAATGCATAGAGATAAAGTGAGGTTCTGCTGACGGATGTGTGCATCTGGATCTGTGCTGAAAACTACATGTGTGTGTCTGAGTGTAGCGACAGAGCGGGAAAAGAATCTAAAGAATATGTGTTTGGATGTTATAGCTCACCTTTGGGAGGTGGGATAAGAACAGGGCTGACGGCTAGGAATGAATTTACGAGGCTCGATCTCCCAGAAACAATTTCTTTATGTGGGTTACACACATTTAGAGTGGCTACTTGTCCCCCCCCCTGGGCCTCAGCTCACCACACACAGCTACTGGAGATGGCCAATGAAATACAGAACACTCTTTTATAGGACACATGCTTTTTATTTATTTTTATTTAGCCCCTGTAGCTTTCTTTTCTCTCTCGCTCTGTCTAGGTCTCTGTCTTACTCCTTCCTGTTTCTCAGTCTTGTTCACCCCCCCTCCCATCTCTCCTATTCTCTTCTCATCGCACGCAGCTACGAATGAAAACGAGATCACCTTTTATAGGCCGCATAGTGTATTTTTTGTTTCCTCTGGTTGATCTCTTTGTCTTTATTAGAACTATCTCTCTTTTCCAATCTCTCTCTCTCTCTCTCTCTCTCTCCGGATAACAGCTCTGACATTATTCCCATGGCCCAGAGGATTTATTGGTAGAAGTCAGAAAACTACAGGAAAGGGTAGAGTGTGTGTTAAAGGTGCAGAGGGAGACATACAATTGTGGGATGTAGAAACATGAAAGCATCTGTATGTATCTGCTTTTGGTCATGAGGCTGCAGGAAGTCGGGGTGAAAATGGTCCAATCTGACCAAGTCCTGCAGTCTGCAATCACCTCAGGCACGTCTGTGACAGGAGTCTGCTGGAGCACTGTGTTCATGTCCGATACCATCAATCATATTCTAGCAACATTCAGTTATGAATTTATAAAATACTAAAAAAGGAGTAAAATCAGGACACAGATTTTTTTGTTTTTTTGGTAAAGCAGTGCATTATTCCCTACATTAATCTTCATACTGAGCCATTCATTTTTCCTGAAGCACATATACACTGGGGTTCTGCTGTGGTGTAGGAGTTAAGATGGCAACCATGACCTTTGTTGCATCTCTGGCCCACTAATTAAGACATAAAATGCAAAACACGCAAACATACACATTTTTATATTTGCATATGCACACACAAACAAGCGAGGTCAGTCTAAACAGTGTGACTGTGAAAACGCATTTGTTTTCCCAACCAATGAATAATCAAGTGCACGGAGACTAAACTTAATATAACCTTGAACCCAGAACCAAACCCTTTAACTCACCAGGAACGATATTCTCAGGGCAAACATCTGTTACTTTGTAACGTCATGGAAGAGACTCCCTCTCTCTCTGTCTCTCCCTCCCTCACATCAAATGGATATAATGTGATTCATCCAAGATGGAAATTCATATTAAGTAATTTGAGCATGCTCTGCAGCCTGTAGCAGGATGTAGGCTGTAGTAACTAAATGTTTCCTAAATGACTAAGCAAAACATATCTGCACTTACATTGTTTTGGGGGGGTTTCTGTGCAAAGTTGCACATAGCCCCTGTGGCAGGGGTGGGCAATTCCTGGGGACAGTTATGAAGGGACGCACCAATAAGCTTATAGAGTTAAAATTATTAGTGAGCAGAACCGAGTTTAGTTTATTGGTGTGTCCCTCCACAATAGCTCCAGTTTTTCATGTGACCCTTTGGGCAAATGAATTGTCCACATCTGCTCTGTAGCATCAGCCATTTGTTTGTATTCTTACGTGATCTAAATAAACACTGGAGAGTTAGATTAGCAGCTTTCATTATTTCATTAGAAAGGTCCATCTATAGATTACATATTTACATCAGACAGACACCTAAACTGAAGCACAGACTCTTTTTACTCCGGGTTGGTGATCCATGATGCATCAACACCAGAAAATTGGTCAAGAGGTCCAGTCCAGCGACTTAGATTATCTAAAATGAGACCCAGCAGGCAGCCAGTGGCTACAGATGCCTTTGTCAGCATCTTCCTGCCAGTCAGAGCTGCCATACATCTAAGTTTAAGCCTTGATTGAGTATCTGGAGAAGGAAATTAGTCGGGGAGACCAAATTCATGCTCTAAAATCGAAAGTCTGTAGGGATGGGTTTACATCTGTAGCTAGTCTCATGTGCCATTTTTGGGACTTATGTAGCCCTGAAGGTACTTGGTTACAGTTCTTCTATTTTAGATTCATAAATCCAAACAAAAAATGCATTCCTTGAAGTGACAACCAGAACAAAAATCCCACCTCTTTTAACTTCATTCTGCTCCGTCTTCATTTTTCTTTAGTTTTCCTCATTTCTATCTTTCATTTCTCTGCAGTTAGTAAAGTGAGTAGAAGCCCAGAATATTTTGTGACTAAACTTTTCATGTTAACAAAGTCCACTAGTGCCTAAAGTTTGGGGGTCACTTAGCAATGTCTTTGCTTTTGAAAGAGGAACACATTTGTTTTTGATTAAAACTGATTATGAATTTGCAAATAACAAGCAAATAATGATGATTAATGACAGATTTTTTCTAAATTGTTTATTTGTAAGGCATGTAGGTGTGCAGAGGCCCCTTTTCAGCAACCATCACACCTGTGACGGCGTTATCTAATACAAGAAAAACTAATCAATATGGGAAAAAAGGGTTTTTTCCAAATATGTAAGCGTCGCTGAATTGCTGATTTAAAGAAGCAAGAAATCTGACTGAGTGTCTGGAGCATTAGCCTTTGTGGGTTTAATTAGCCTCAAAAAGAGACTGCACATGTTGTGTACTACTCCCGTCACCGAAGAGCACTCACTGAGATCCGAGTGTACACAGCTGAGCCAGAGAACAAGTACATCAACGTCTCCATCTCACCATTTCTCAACTGGCAGCTACATTAACCCACAAAACACTGGGTCTTATAGGCAACGGTGAAGAGGTAACTTCGCAATGACAGGCTTTAAGGTCCAAAGCCAAGTCTGCCAAATCTGTCAGTGGTCAATAAAATGGAAAGCATACTATAAATGCAGATAGCATTTGCGGCCACATTAAGGCCCATCCTTGCCCACAAATTATAGTGCATTCTTGTATCGCTCCATAAACCCCAACAATCCAACCAATCTCCCTTGTTGCTCTTGCTCACCATCACCTCTGTGCAATCTTTCTCCTCCTACCATCAAGTCTAGCTGGCAGTTCTCTTCCTTCTTATTTTCTAACTCCCTCAGTTCACCTCGGCTCGCCTCCCCTGTGCTCTTCGCGGAGGCTTGTGAAAACGGAAGCAGAGAAAGAGACAGCGACAGATGGAGCAGTAACATGTCGAAAATATTCACAGTCGGGATGGCCAGCTTTGTTTAAATTAAACAAGCCTGTGTGCACACAACACTTTACAACCAGGTCTAGGTCATGAAGAGGCTTGAAACCGGCACTACCTTCTTCTTTTTAACAGTGAAGGAAAGAAAAGTAGAGCCTGGAACACCTAACTCACAGCCTCTCCTCTGTTAGACTGATGCTTTATGCTGCCATCGTCAATGTAAAGTTTTCATAGCCTCTCAATGTTTAACATGCAAAAGCAGTGGCCTGCATTTCAGTCATGTTAAGCCTACAAACACTCCACACTGAGTGCAACTGTTAAACCAGGAGACATGTAATAGAGCATAATGGGGAAAAGAGAATAAGGAAAGCATAAAGGTTCCTTATCAGCTCTTTTTCTTTAAGAATGAGCTGATACTTACTTACTTTAATTTATCAATTATTTGGCACATGTGGATCCAGCTAATAGGATCAATCACAAAAAAATAATCATCGTGAAGTGACAACCACCACACGGCAGGTCTGCCTAAAATAGCGCACAGATTCCGTCAATGCCCGCATACGCACAGCTTTACCTGAGCGCCCTTGTGCGTGCGTGCGCATACGTATGCGTGCGTGTGCGTGTGTGTGTGTGTGAGAGAGAGAGAGAGAGAGAGAGAGAGAGAGAGAGAGAGGTTCTATAGGCTGTGCAATATCTGAAACAACCGCAATCATTTGTCTTTGCTATAAAATCACAACCGCATGAATAAAACTGACACCAAAGCAGACCGGGCTGACGGGTGGCGCCACTAGAAATCATTTTCACAACTCTAATGCCTTCTTAAAATCCAATCCCTTTCTATTTCTTTACAAATGGAGCGGATGAAGTGTAATCCATTTCGTGCGTAAATGGTTTCTAAGGCGTGCTAACCAGTAGACTGTGACACGGCTGCATCCGTGCATGTCAGGTGGGTTAGTAATTGACTTTTTTTGTTTTTTGTCTTTTTTTATCACGCTCACTTCTCCTGCTGTTAACTAAAGGCGCGTTAAAACCGTGAGGGACACCGAGCAGCTCCGCCCAGGTGTAAAGGCTACCCTGTGACCCATACCTGTTGGTGCGGTGTGGTCTTGTTCTGTTAGCCCAGCAGGTGAACCTCTCTCCTCATAGCCGCTCCGCTATCCGAGACAGAGAAGAGACTCGCATCCCCACTCCACTAGCGGAAAACAGCTCCTCTGTGACACCGGCCGCTCAGTTCGACTGGAGCGGAAAAGTTATACCATACCATCCACCTCCGAAGCCGGGTAGCAGACACACACAAAAAAGGAGCCGGTTGCAGATGTGACCTTCTGGGGTGGTGCTCCTGCTACTACTCCTGTGCAAGGAAAGGTCTCCTGAAAGTTCCGCTCCTGTCCTCCGCTTTTGCACAGAAACTTAGTTATTAAACCATGTCACGAAGGAAGAAACAGCCAGTTTGGAAACCTGGCTTCTGTTTTGCAGCAGCAGTCTCCTTCTTTTTCTCCTCTTTAAACGATGTAGTGTGAAAGCAGCCCAGTGGTGGGACAGAGATGCGTTGCGGTCGGGGAGTCACGCAGACTGTTACTGCGCTCCTGCTTGTCCGCCAGGAAGATGGAGAGGATTGCCTTTAGAGTGTAAAACTCTGAAGCGGAGCAGCGCCCCCTAGCGGTTTAGTTTGGGAAGAACTGCTCACCAATGTGCGGGCAACAAATGTAAATGATACTGTACAGTAATGTGGAGAAGGGCCATATGGGCTGCGCCAAGACATGTTGGATATGTGATATTAGCGGTTTATTGCTGGCAGTGAAACAGAAAGAAGCATCAGCCAGCGTCCTGACACAAAACACATGCACACAATGCACACGTGCAGTCAGACAACATCAGATGTATCAGCAAAAATGTTTGTGTCACTTCATGAAGGACAAAGCAATATTATTGTCTCAGTGTGTGTGTGTCTATGTTTCTGTCTGTATCTGTGTGTGCACACGCGCCCCTCTCTCAACGGTGAGAGGTTCAAATTAAATTGAACTCACTTTAGCTGAGCTACGGGCATTTCCCAGTAGACTACACCAAAAGGAGCGAAGGGGTGATCGACACCGTACCGTCCAAATTGACCGGCCTCTCTGCCTGAGCGAGTGTGTGTCTGTGTGCGTCTTTATGTGTGTTCTGTTGCCCGAAATGACCTGAACTGCCCAAAGAAGTTTACTCACAACAAATGACTTTGTCCAGACTCAGTCACTCTGACCAGTGCAGTTCATTTGAGGAAGTAGTCCCCACTGGCCTCTAAAGTGTGACTGTGCATGTGTACAGTATGTGTGTGTCACAAAGTGTGCAGTTTCCCCTCTGGTGGCAGGAGAAACAGATAGACAGTAATAGGTATTAAGGACACAGAAATCAGGCGGCGGAGAAGCCTGGTAGTAAAACTCTACACTCGCACAAACACTTAGTGAGACAAAGTACAACTGAAGTTCTGTTGGTGGTGTGTACTTTATATTGGAGTGAGCATACAAGTGTGTGCGAGATGTAATCGAGGTGATGATGTATGGCTGCACACATGGATGACAGGGTAATTGATCCATAGTGGGGGTGTGATTGTGCACGTGTGCACGCGGGGAGGCCTGCTGCCAGTCATATATCATTTCACCCAGTGAGCTAATCTGTTACGCTGACAAAGAGTTCAGATTACTGATCTGCTCTCCTTTCTGGTCACCCTCCTGAACCTTCAACACTCTCCTCTCCCCTCCTTTTATTTCCTCGCCTCTTTTTAACTTTTGTTTTTATCGCTCATTCTTTAATCCTCCCCTTGTATGCTAGCTTCTTAATTCTCATTCTCCCTCTGTCTCTTTGTTCCTCTCTCTTCTTCTCTCTTGCTCGCTAAAGTAACACGGGTGAATCACGGATAACCTGGAAAGCCCAACCATGGGATTTGTCTTCTGTACTGCGTTCTGGCAGCATAGTTAAACTCAGCATGTGGACTGCAAGATAACAAATAGAGACATGCATGCAACACAGGATCGCGGGGCCTGCTTGGAAGCCCTCAAAAATCAGTCTAATTCCTTTGGGATCTTTGGCATTTATGCACATACATGTTCACCCACACACAGACACACACACACAGTGGGATTTAACATGTGCCACTCAGAGCTCTTGTTCACAGAATACTCGCTTTCCTTTACATATCACATGACAGCCTTGAAGTTGCATGTTGTGAGTATACAAGGCATGAAACATGCGAGCACACACATACACAGTCACGTGGACATGATAATCGAGCAGCTCCAAACAGTCTAATCGTATTCATTTGTCATACTTTTCCTTCTATCAGCTCAGTGAAACAGCTGAAAAGAAGACAAATCCTGCAGGACCAGCAGATAATCCTCGCAGACATGAGGCGTTTGCCACATGGCTCTGTACTGCTCATAATCATCAGAGCAATAATTATAGTAGACAGTGTCCCGTTTGGCACTTATCACTTGTAAGACCTCACAGTAAAGAAAATGAATTTTTTACGATGATTTTAAAGACGATTTTATTGTTCATAAGCTGTTTGTCTCTCTGCTTCTCAACGTCCTGCGTATGTCTGTTTGCCAAGGAACCAAATCATGAGAGCAACCTGAGTTATCTTTTTTTTTTAATCAACATTTCTGCGTGTGCTCTGACCTTTGCTCTTCTTTAGATCTTTTTTCAGCCTCTGCGTGTTTCTTGCCCTGACTTTAGCTACTCCACCCGTGTGTAGCTGTCCTCCCTTTGAGTGTTTTTAGTCTATGTTTCCCCCTCTCTGCCATGTCGACTTGTATCATGGGTCATTACACTCGTCTATTACTGTAAGTCTTCCTGTGTGCCTGGCACTGCCTGTTTTGCTGCTTTTATTTGTGTTTTATTTGTTTGTAGTTTCAAGTCTGTTTATTTGAAACTCTCTTCCTTTGTCCTCTGTTTCCACCTACAGATCATTACAGATGTTTCCTCTGGATTTGGTAAAGACCAGTATAAAAGTACGACATTTTCCACAATGATACAAACACAACTCCTAATGTGAATGATACTATCGCTCCTTAGTGGACAAACAAGCAATTAATGGTTGGCTCTGTCAAGTTAAAAGCATCTGATATGATGCTAGTTAATATAAAATGTGGCTAAAAGAAAGTTCAAAGGAATGATGGAACAGGTTACTCCATGCATGGCTGTAGCTTATTTAAGTTGACCAGTTTTAAGGGCATCAGTGAAAGTTTGTGAAAGAAAAACACTACGGTGCATCGATCTATGTCAAGGAAGACTGTTTAACAGAATCAGATCAGACTGCTGACACCATCTGTTACATATATTCTGTCATCACAAAGTGGATTACATCTTATGCATCTATAAAGTTCACTTCTTTACAGTAAAATGAAGGTTAAAGCTTTATGTTTGTACTTCTGTGCAAGATTCAAAGCCCTGCCAGATGACTCTTACTACCACTACTGAGTGCTGAGTGCATCCTTCATATGGAATAAACACTCATGCACATACACAAAATTGTCTTCTGTGTTGCACTGGCAGGCAGTCATGCCAGCATTAGCATATGAAAGACAGCAGCTGGAAGGTGTCTCTGTCGCAGTTGTTCTTACTTGCTGTGGTATCTATTTTGATGGCTGTTTTTCTGTGTTCTTGCTGTCCCTCCTTAGGTCCATCACTCATACTCTTCCTTTCCTCCAAAGATGACTTTCCACAGTCCCACATGAGCGTAATCTCCATATAGCATATTTGCATCATTTCTGGACACTCCAAATATGCCGTTTTGTCTGCACAAAAAAATCGAGTTATGCTGACTTTCAGGAATCTTCCTGTAATCCAGAAATCTGTGCATTCAAACTGAAAATGCTGAAGAAGCTTTTTTCCACCCGTTTTTTTCTTACCCCGAGCAGCGCTTTTACATCTCAGAAAACTAAGAATTGTAGCGTAAAAAAGTTACAGCAAATCACTTATCACAGACAGAGCTGCCCTCAGCAGAGGAGCCTTTATCTCAGAGAGCAGCAGGGCGCATCTTACTAACTCAACCCTTTCTCCTCTTGTCTGTTACGCTCGTTCACTCAAAGGTGTAAATGTTCAAACAGACTAATTCCTTCAAAGCTATGAAGAGCATGAAAGACCAGTCTCCGCCCTCATTCCTAATTGATGGCCTCACATCGCAGCATGAACGCTGGATAAGTCTAGCTCATTAGCGGTAACTACACTACAGTTAGCTCCATTAAAATTACATTACAGACATTCTAGACACACCTTATTCTGATCCCCTTTCACTCTGCTTCATTCACTTAAAATGTCATTTACAGTAGACGTGCAATGTGAGTGAGCAGAATGAGCTTATTTCACTAAGAGCAGAAGAATAACCTCATTGTTATTCATAGGCTACAGCATCTTTCTGTAATAAATACAGCTAAAAACACCATAAATACAAACAAGAATGTTTTTTAATTCCATTCATTTGTCTTTATGAATATGCAATCCACTTATTAGAGTAATTGTCCTTAGAGGGTGTGGGGTTAGTGGGGTTAATTAAAAAAACAGCCACTAATGTGAAATCACCGTGTGATGCTCGCACTTTATTATCACCTCCAGCTCTCCTCCACACGGCTCTTTTTCCATCAGGCATTTTTTTCAACTCACGTTCGCTGACCATTCAGGCCATACAGTGCTGTTGCTCATATTGTGCTTTTCTCCTGGGAAAGCCAGTAAATGCTAGCATGTGACCTCAGGCAGTTTCTGAACCCCAGCCTTTAGATCAACATGACATGATGAATGACAACATTTCACTGATGTTATGGCAGCACCTGGAGATCCTCCCTGTAGAGCTGCAGGATGCTGCATCAGAAAAGGACACCTGTGATGCTGGCCTGTGCTCTTTCCACTGCATTTCTTGCTGCAGTGGGCAAAAATGTACAGGAGACAAAAAGAAAATGGACAGCTATCGGTGAACGAGATACTAATAGAGGCTGAATATGAATCACGGCTGAATTTTGACTTTACATGGAATTTAAACCTTGACTGAAGGTTAGAGAGATTTTAATAAGTTTATTCACATCCAAAAGCAAAGGATTGAAAAGAATGAAAAAAAAAAATGAATTATTGAAATGACAAAGAAGCTGCTTTGCAAGATTTTAAATGCAGGAACTATGGAGTCTAGATGTTTTTTTAATCAAATCTTTTTTTCAGCTCTATTACATTTACAAAATATTGCCTGTTCTCTGCACATATTTCCACGAGAAAATCACAACATTAAAAGTAACTAGCAACTAATACTCTGAGGGGAAAGGTTCAATCTTTTACTCTGAGTGTAGTGCGTCAGAAAATAGAAATATTAAACTAAAGTACATGTTCAGCTAAACTGAACAGATGGTTTTGTTTGAGGCGCTCAGATCTCTGAGAAGCTTTATCACACTGAAAGTCACAAGTGAAAAATGGTTGTGCACTTGAGAAGATTGAGAAGATTGTGTACTTTTTGATGTATAAATTTGCAAATCAAGAGCAGGCATTGTAGTTTATTGCTGGAGACCCAAGTGCAGGGCTGGATTGCAACACACAGAGTGGCTAATCTGCACAGCCAAGCTTTGAATAGGCACACACT